TTAAATTAGAAAGTAGTTTATTTCATGGTTTGGTTGTAGTGTTTGTTGGAGATGTTTCTGTGAAATGAATATTGAGGAAAAACTGACTTGATTTGATTGAGTACAAGATTATTATACACATAGAATGAGTGTTTGTAGCAACAGAAAGGTAGTGGAGGAATACACAATCCACAAAGAGAGGAACATAAGAGAGGTGGAGTAACGGAAATAAATAAAGAAAAGAAAAATTCCTTTTTATTTAGTTATCTCTAATACGCCCCTGCAAGACGGTGGAGGTATCAACGACACCGATCTTGGACCGAAGAAGAAGGAACCGTGTGGATGGTAACGGTTTGGTGAGAGAATCGGCAAGTTGGTGAGCCGTTGATATGTAGGAAACGCGCAGACGACCAACTTGGACCAGTTGGCGGACAAAGTGATAATCAAGAGCGAGGTGCTTCATTCTGGAGTGGAAGACGGAATTGGAGCTGAATGAGGTGGCGCCAAGATTATCAGAATAGAGCGTCGGAGGAGACTGTAGAGGTTGCTTGAGCTCGTGAAGGAGATTCTGGATCCACTCCAACTCGGTCGTCGCATGAGCGATGGCACGATACTCGGCCTCAGTGCTGGAGCGGCCCACGGTGCGCTGTTTCTACGAGCGCCAGGAGATGAGGGTCGAGCCAAAGTAAATGGTATGATCTATGATAGGTCTGTGCCGATTTAACAAAAAATCTGAGAATATAAAATCATTAACATTCATTAAATTTAAACATATATAAAATATATTTGAAGCCAATTTATGACTTTTAAATTTATGAAATTAATAATAAATATTTTTTCGTTAATTAAATTCACTAAAACAACGTCATTTTGCTTAGAATTCGTATATTCATCATACCAATAATATTCACGCCGATTTCATAACTGACACTGGGTGAACTAGATTCAACAGGGGGAATGCCTCCGGCATGACAACCATTATCCCGAGCCTAACTAACTTTCTTCCCTCTAGGGTTGGTTTGCTTGTAGTTTTTAAAGGTTAAATTAGAAAGTAGTTTATTTCATGGTTTGGTTGTAGTGTTTTGGTATACTTTGGATTTTGAAAAAAATCTTAGATATATGATGGATTTGTTAGTATTATGGATTTGAAAAGCTTATTATTTTTTTGTTGGATTTTATTATGGAATTTACTTAATTATATTTATTGATATGATGATTTTTTAACCATCACCCAAATCTCGGGATTTTTTCCAAAAATGTCACCCCAAAATTCAATATAATTTCAAAAATATCACTCTTTTCAAAAAAAAATCCATTCATACTACTCTTTCACATAAATTGTCGCAGGGGGCAGTAGTTTTCAAATGAACCGCTGGGTAGGGTGGCGGTTTTTATTTTGGGCACAAACTGCAGGTGGCAGTGTTATGGTTGACCTAAAACAAATCGCGGCAAGACCAGCCAGTTCTATCTTGGCAAAGGGAAGGGCTACCATACCCAGCGATTTGATTTACTGACATACAAACCGCAGGGGTCGGCGGCGGTTTGCATGTCGTCCCCATCCCTCGACAGCCGACATGTCGACATGCAGGGGGTGCAGACTTAGGGTTTGCATATCAGGTGAAAACCGCCATCCCAACCCCCCCCCCCCCCCTTCCCCAGCAGGTTCGGTGGAACACGGTGGGGGTGGCGGTTTTCACCAAACATTTTCCCTATAAAAGACAGTCCCGAAAACCTCAGCTTTTCACTCCTCCTTCTTCTTCTTTAAAATTTTGTTCTGCTCCCTACTTTTTTGAGTTTTTGCGATTAACGTTACTTCGTAAGTTTATTTTGTATTATTTTTTATAGTGATTTGTGATTTTTAAATAATTTTTAAAAACTTAGGAAATATTTTCTTATGGCACTTCGGACTTATCTGCAACCAACAGACCACTATTTCTTAAATTTTGAGTGGAGAAGGGGATGGGTAGAGAGAAAATCTTAGAGAGAAGGGTTGGTTTTGGTGTGAAGAAAATAGAGAGTGGAGGGGGTTTTATACAACAAATCGTGGGGTGGGGGCGATTTAGGCGGGAAGGAAAATCGAAATCCGTGGGAGCGGGGGGCGGGTTTTGAATTTGAAAGACAAATCGTGGTTAGGAAGAGCGGTTTCTGCGAGAAGGATGCGGATCGCCCCACGATCACGCGGATTGCTGAGCTGACTGCGGTCAGCTGTCAGATCGTGGGGGGATCCAACGGTTTGTCTTACTGCCATGCCCACTACCAGTTTGTGCCCCCAAAAAATGCGAATTGTGCCCCCTACGGTCTGCGCCCCTCTGCAGTTTGTTTGAAAAATGGTATAAATGGAATTATTTAAAGTTTGTACGGTCCACGAATTTGGACACGTAAAGTTCATGGACCACGCAGATATCACGCTCAAAAATTAACTAGAAAACAATTTGGAACACGTCCATAATGAATTAGGTTTGAGACTCATATCTCTCGCCAAATTCATAAAACAAATGCCCCCTGCATGGCTACATGTTTGGTAACTCGGTTTATCAATTTGTTTTACATTTATTACTAAATCTTTTCTATTGTATAATTGGCTACAGACTTTACATCAACATTTCACTATAGCAACCCGTAATGTAACTTTTTTAAAATATCCTACATGGTAGTCAATAATCTTATTGATCATCCAACTAAAGATGTATCAATTAAAGAATAATAATAAAATAATATAATATATTTATTTTCAGTCTCCATATCGTCTCCTCTTCCACTATGTCTTTCCTCGTAATGATTTGATTTCCTTTTATTGCTATCATTCGCAAATTCCGACACCCTAGTAGACTAGTACTAGGGTTGAAATGAACCTTTCCCATCTCGAGCTCAATACGAGCAGAGAAGGAAAGCGTTGCATAGGCAATGTTCCCCCTAGGTCTTCTAATCATGCTCCCTCGATGATTGGAGTATACAAGCTGCCGATTTCTTATTTCGTCATTTCGCACCTTGTGTTGAAGAATTTATCCAAACTCATGGGCGACAAGGACCCTTCAAATTCCTTGACGCGTCAAGTTGCTTGATCAAATTTCCATCGAGTGGACTGCTATTTCTAGACCCATCCTAAATTACTAGGATTTCTATCCTTGCACCTCGAAGTAGTGCAAGGTCAACTAATCAATCATTCGAATCAACAATAAAAAAAGAAGAAATCAAGCATCACACATATGAAAATCAAAAATTGTACTAACCAAATCATCGAGTTTACATGGTTAGAACCTTTAGGGTTCACATACCTACACAACTAAGGAACTTAGCCAACCTTAGGGAGGGATTCCTGGATGTTCATCGATGGAAATGATGACTCCAGGAGACCTCGGTAATCGACGCCCATAACATAAAATCAGTCCCAGCTGTGCTGATTTTGCCGCCGATTCTCCCTCTAAGTCATGAGGGTTGCTCTGTCGGTAGAATAACGACACTTCCTTGACCTCCCATCTCTTCCTCCCGAACTCTAGATCTTGAAGCCTATTTATAGATCTTCGATTAGGTTTTCTAAGGAAAACTCATCCTTTTTGCATCATTTGCTCAATTAGAGCGCTCCAAGCACGTGGCCAACGAATCAAGATGCTATGGGATAACTTCCTAACGAAGTGGATGACGCTCCAAACACGTGGTCACTAAAACGGTGCCATTGGGGCCTTCCGGTCTTTGAATCCTTGCTCCAGCAGCTTGGGCTCGATGTCCCCAATGGCTTGCAAGTGGTCCACTAGGCTACTTCGCCCTGAAAAAGCACAAAACGCTACCAAAAGCACATCAATCGTATAAAAGCAATCCTAAAGTTGTTAGAACGCACTTGAAGCAATCATAGCAATAATTCAATATACTATGACAATAATTATTATGGGAAATGTATATACTTTGTGTCACAATTTCATATTTTAACTCATTTCTTTTTATTCTTCTACAACTCTCTTGACTTAAATCTCAACGGTTTCAACTTTAAACCCAAAGAAAAGAGGTGTCAGCCTCACAATGTGTACTAGCAATGCACAAGACGATGGATATTTGGTTAAACCTTTATTATGTAATGTGATATATGTTTATTTTTATAATTAGGTATTATTCAATGAATTAAAATATAGAACTTCCAAATATAAAAAATGATAATACAACTAGACCAACTAGACCAACTAGACCAAACCCGTGTTCAATAGAGCACATGTTTCGGATGGAGATGTTTAGCGGCAGTTGTCAGTATCATATCCTCGAACGAACCAACCAAAGAGCAGTGGAGAACCGAATGTTTCCTAGGTCACAACTAGGGATGGCAATGGGTCGGGTTTTACCAAACTCATGGGTTTATCCTTCAAAAAAATCTGGGGTAAAACTCAATGGGTTTGAAAAACTCAAACCCAATCCAATCCGCTGGGTATCCGCGGGTTCATGGGTACCCATGGGTTTTTGTGGTAAAAAATTTACAATAACAAGTTCCTATCAAAATAAAAGTCAAACATCAATTTCTCCTTGCAAATTATCCATACATAAAACACGAGTCTAGAAAATTCAAAAAAATTACAAATTATTCATACAAATTGTAAATTAGATTGGGGAAAATTAGAATTAGGGTAAGGTTTGTAGAGAGTAGATGACGAAATAAGTGTGGACGGGCACCTATGGGTCGGGCATCCCTAAACCCAAACCCAATCCAACCCGGTGAAGGTGTAACGAATTTAAACCCAAACCCGACCCTAAACCTGTTAACACGGGTTTTGCCCGTGTTAACCGAGTAGGATACATGTTGACCGTGTTGAATCGGGTATGATACCTGTGGGCAGTCTACGAACCCATATTGACCGGGTTGAATCGGTAGGATACCTGTGGGCAGTCTACGACTCTACGTTATACCCAAGGCCCAGGGACTCCTCCAAGGATGTGCAAGTAGATAATGCAAGACGCAAAGATAAAAAAAAACAAACGACAGTTCGAAACTTCACTAGCGTAAATGAAAACATCCAAGGAACACAACCCCGTCAGCAGATCGATCAGACAATGTTAAGAAAATACTGTTATCTGGTACCACAATCGAATCAACTACGAATGTAGGCTTCAATATGAACTGAATCTGTTCCATCCAAAGATCAGATGATTGGCTCTACTGTTCCCGTGTTATCAGTTTTTAATACAGAACATCTCCGAATTAAATATACCCTAAGTGGTAATCAATCAAACAAACAACAAGGGGTGAAACAAAACCAGGACGCTACTCTGTCTACACTTTTTAACTTGTGGACCTCCTGGATGAATGCAACCTACACGGCAAAAGGGAAGAATAATACACTCCACAAACCCAGAAAAGGGGGGAAAAGGGAAATCCTGACTATATACTGCGACAAACAATCAAAGAGTCCATCAAATCTTAAACTTGGCTACAACCATGTCACGTCGTCAAAAAAGTCCACAGTTTCTTCCCTATTGAGGCTTCACCAGGATGAAGCGACTCTTCTTCTTCGTCATCTTCATTCTCATCCTCACTTTCTCTATTGGATTCGGTAGCATACTCTTGCTCCCCTTCCATGTCCACCCTCTCATTTACCTCCTCACTCATCACCACATTTACATCTGGATTACCCTGTCTCTCATTGTGTTCTGCAACTTCCTCAGCCTGAACATAAACAACACCAGCAAAAACCATTAACCGCAAGATCTTCCTCTTCTAGTCAAGGGGAAAAGCTACTATTAAGAACAGACAACATAAACAATAGTTGCGTGTTACAAGACATACTGGCATAACAGAGTGTCTAGTTGTCCCATTTTTACGAGTGTCCCCTGCTGGCATATCTGCACGACTTCTCAATTCTCCATCATTGGGACTAACTAAACCGTCGCCCTCTTTCTTGTTCTTACTTTTATGGTTGGATGAAGTTTTGGCATCCACAACAGCTGCCCTGCTGACAACAATTTAGCATGCCACCTTTTAGTAAGATATATTGATGACACAAGGCTAAAAGCCAGTCAGCCTCTCAGTTAAAATCATTAATGTAAGATAGGTAATAGCTGAAGGCAGTACCAATGATAGATCTACTGACACAATCATGTCTTAAGTCAAAAGAGACCAAAATTAGATCTGATGATAAGATGAGGAACTTACAGCTTTGACCGCCGGAGATTGTATCTTGATCCACCTGGAGCTTGCACATCAGTCACGTTCTGCTGACGCTTCCTGCGTTTTCCAGCTACGGTGCTACCAGAATGCCCCTCACTCTCATTGCCATCACGTTCAATTGTTGTGGTCTTGGAAGCATGTTTTCGGCTCCTCTTTTTCCCATTTCTCTGAGTTCCCTTGTCGGCATGGCTAGATTCACCGTGGCTTTCAGATATCAGAAGTTCAGAATCTTCGGCCACCAAATCTGATTCCAAAGCCTCTCCAAGCACTGCTTTGGCATCTCCTACATCAACTTTGATAGAGGGTGTTCTACTGACTTTCACTCTTCTTTTAATGGGACCCCGCCCACCCCTCAGATCAGAAGACTCAGAGATCTCTTGAGGAGGTTGCAATGACATACTGTTAACATCACTTTGGCCATCTGCTGACAAATCTTGCATTGCTGCAATAGCATCTCCTGTACCATCATACTGTACCCTCTGGTCACCAAGCGAGTCATTTCCATAAACGAGAGATATTTCTTGCTCATCTTCAAAGATATCCACTCTGTTTGAAGGTTCTGCCACATCAGCCAAGTCTCTTACAAGCTCTATCCTTTTGAGCGGGGAGAAGTTGAATATTTTTGTTGTGCACGTCTGGAGCCAAGAAGCTGGAGATACTGTATACCTTCTGGCCACAACAGAAGATTTCTCAGCCTCTGTTCTTTCAGAGGCTTTTGAGTTTTTGCAATTCCCAGCTCCCGACACTGCCAGTCTTGAAGCAGACAAGATACTGGCATTCTCAATTTCTTGTGAAGAGATTAAGTCGGAAAGAACAAACTGGGATGTCACTTCACCACAGTTTTTACAATCCTTGTGCTGCTCTACAAAGGCAATGAAGCGCGCTTTCTCTTTAGTAAATACTTCCCTGTGGTCCTTGAGCTTCCTGCTAAGCTGCCTAAGTCCATCGATATCTTCTCGAATTTCAAGTTGTTGCTCCTGAAGATGCTTCTTGTTTTCAGCAAGCTCCAGCCTGTCCTTTTCTACCCTTGATCTCTCCATCTTCAGTTCATCCATCTCTCTTCTAGCCACATCCTTCAAGTAATTGAGATTTTTCATTTCTCTCTGTTTCTCCTCCTCAAACAATGTCTCCTTCTCCTGCAGATGTCTGTTTGTTTCTTCCTGCTTCTTCTGCAAGCTGTTCTCAGTTTCACTCTTCAGTACCTCAATCTCATTCAGCATTAAGTTTTTATCACTCTCCAGTTTCTCAGTCATCATAGACTGTTCCTGCTCCAGCTTGGCCTTAAATGACTCTTTCGCTAATTCAAGAGTTTCAAACTCCCTTTTGATGTAATCTTCTGTAGCCTGTCTCTCGTGCTTAACCTTTTCCTCCTCGGATTGCCTTTGTTTCTCAAACTTGTCTTTCTGCTCACTAATGCTTTTTAGCTCTCGTTCAATCTCAGCTTTCTTTCCATCCAATTCCAGCCACTCCCTCTCAAAGTTCTCCTTCTGCTGCTTTAAATCTTCGGCCTCCTTCAAAAGCAGCTCCTCTGTAAATCTGCACTTTTCTGTTTCCTCTTTCAGTTCAGATTGCAGACGAACAAACTCAAACCTCTCATCTTGACTTATCTGGAGTTGCTCTTTCTCTTCACGAATCTTCAGAAGCTGCTGCTCATTAGCAGCCTTTAATTTGTCAAGCTCAACTTTAAGGTTTATAAGTTTTTCCTCGTCAGAATGCAGCTGTTTTTTCTCTATCATCAAGTTTTTCTCCTCAGATTTGATGGCCTTCTCCCTTTCCTTGAGAGATTTTGATTTGGATTCAAAATCCTTTTCTTTCTCTTTGAGCTTCTCCAGTTTCTTATCCAAACCCTGCTCCCTTTTTGCAACTTTCGCCTCCCAATGCTCGACTTCAGCTTCCTTTCGCTCCAAATCGAGTACCTTGCTCTTCAACTCCTCATCCAAGGATTTCGTCCTTTGCTCAGCCTCCAGCTCGAATTCAGAACTTTTGGCATCCAGAATAGCTTGATGCTCCTCAAGGAGCTTCTGAATCTCCACCTAACAAAAGAAATTCACAAATGCATGGTAAGGAACCGCTAATCCCAGCCATTTTAAGAGAATCATGCAACAAACTATTTAATAAAATCTACATCATCTACAGAACACCATTATTCATAGATTCCTGAAGGCAAAGAAAACAGAAAGCACACAGTTTTAATTTACAAAGACAATTTCAAGCCCCCTATTTATTTACGAGATTAAATAGCAAAGGAATGCATGGTTTATCCACCCGCGTCCAAGAATTTCATCATTACATTGGACATACATCAACTACCAAAGACACGGAGAACTTCGACGAACGATTTCTATTCAATTATGGAATAATGACAAAAGGAAAATGAAACCCATCAAAAGATCTACATTACAGGACAGAACTAGAAGTAGTAGGGCAAGCAAAGAAAAATTACTTAAAGCATCAAATATCATTTACACATCCTATGTAGAACAGTGAAGGACTCACTTTCTCTCTCTCATTCAGCTTCTCTTCCAGGGCACATAACTCCTCCGCTTTCAACTGTAATCTATTTTTAGTAGTATCAAACTCCTGCATGAACCCCACAAATTTGTCAACAAGTTATACAAGGAAAGGAGAATCCACAACAGCTAACATGTTTAACACATACCTTTTCCCTAAGATTCAGATTAGCTTTGCGAATAGCTATGTCATCTTCTTTCCGTTTCAAATCTGAATTTGCTTCATCCAACTTCTTTTGTGCCTCCTCAAGGTCCTTCTCCTTTTGCTTGAACAGTCTATCATTCTCATTCGCCCTTTCTTCTCTTTGATTGACGATTCTCAGACCCTTTGATAGCCTCTCTTCCTCCTCTTGTAATTTTCTCTCCCATTCTCGCAAGTCATCTCTTTGCTTAGATAAAGTGTCTTTGTGTGCTTCTTTCCTGAGAAACAAGAGATCAACACGATGACTTCAACTGCAACATGGTGCAAACAAGCTTTAACTTTGCATCTTTAAAAGAAGTTCATACTCTGCAATCAAGGATAAACGATCCCTTCTTATGGCGCTTTCTCGGGTCTCAACCTCTTGTGATTTCCTCTCCAGCTCTGAACTCTTTCTGCTCACTTCTGCCAGCCTAGCGTCAACTGACCGCAGCTTTGCCTCAACCTCAAGAGATCTTTCTTCAACACGTCTCATCAATGCATTTGCTTCAGCCAACTTAGAATCAGAAGTGAACTTAATTTCAGCATTTTCATATCGCATCTCCTGCACAGTCTTCTCCAGCTGAACAAGAATTCACCGTGTTACTAGTCTTTTAGATAAATCACAATGTTACTGATTGCTAACATCTAACTTTTTGTGCACATTGCCAACTAGATAAACAGATAGCCAAGATTGATTACTTGCAAAAAGAAGATTCTAATTGTCATGCTTTGTTCAAGATTTAAATTACCTACATCCATTACGTGTTGCTTAAAGGGTTTTCTTGTCCACAGGAAGAACAAGAGTCATTATAACAAGCTTTTCTCATGTACAGTCACTTCAAGAGGTAAGAATCAGAAAACCAACCTTAAATAATTCTTGTTTCAGGATCGCAAACCTACTTCATGCATAACCAATTATGCTACCTAGTCTTTTAACACAGATATTTTCATGCTTCAGAATATGGACAACACAAAATTTCGATATGAATGATTCAGTGAAACCCAAGCTTACGTCAACCACACACTGTTTTTCAACCCCCAATGCCTTCCTCAAATTTTCTTCTCGCTTCTCAGCATCAGAGACTGAAACCAAGTGTGTAGCTTGCTCCCGTTTCAGTGCATCCTTCACATCAGCTAACGCTTGCTTGAGTTGATCAGCTTTAGCATTCCAATCCTTCTTTTCAACTAAAAGAAGCTCCATACTATATTCAAATAACTGAAAAAGAGATGACAAGAATAAATAATAAAACATAAGCACAGCACATGAAATGAAGTAAAAGGAGATGACAACATATGAAGAAAATCTAACAGACACCACATTCTCTAGAAAGTTACATAAGCACAACCAAGTCAGGAAGGATGACAGGAAAATAGTAAGAAAACAGACAAAAGAAACAGCCTAAAACCCCAATGCTGCCAGCTGGAACCAACTTTCTAGATCGACCAGTTGAAATCTTTTGTCAAAGTCATTTCTGGCAATACAAACCGAAATATGTAGGTATCTACCCAAAGAAGAGTAATGTAATAGAAAAAGACTATGGTTACTGAAAACACATGATTAATGACCATGACACCTAGACCGTACCACTCAACAACTACTTACACCAATTATCAACTCATAATTCATTAGCAACTTAATTTATCCCTAAAATACAAGGATAAACAGCAAATCAGAAGCAATAATACATCATGAACAGCAATATAGAAGTGATCAACCCACTTGCCATCATGTATCAAACTCTTGAAGCCATATAATGCATAGGCTATCGCGAAAAATACATTATATACAAAATGAGGCCCTGCCACTCATTCTCACTACATCCTTCAACTATAGATTTCTATGCAATATCCAAAAGTTGCTTAATGTATTGGTATACTAGAACTGATACATCAAGAATAGTAGTGAAAGTGATCAAATAACCTCACCGCCAAATATCAAATTCGGTCAACCTAGATACTATGAGGCTACATTCCAGCTTACAGCAACATGCCAAATACGCATACCAGTCCTCCCAAATTTTGGGTTTCTACAAGGATTCTGCAATACTTGTACAGCCTTCCCAATTGAATGCATCAATGACGGCATATAAAGATAACTGTTATTTAGTAAGATCAACCTTGGACAACCCAATATCAAGAAGAAGAAAAAAAAAACTGACCATCGTCAAAGAATAACACAACAGGGGAGCAAACACAGGTTCCGCGAGAAAAAATAACAGTACACAATCACCAACCTCATTCTCAAGCCTTGAAATCTTGGCAGCCAAATCCTGAGTATCCAAAGCACGACTCAAGCCATTGGGAGAAGCAGCTTCAGTAAAAAGCACCGCTTTCCCTCTGAAAGGGCTCCCATCTCCGGAATCGGAAGCAGGAGTGTCATTGGAATTGAGGGTCTGATGCAAAAGCCCGCCAGATTTGTGAGCCTCTCTCCGCGGAGACCAAACGGACCACATCTTCCTCTGCGGGGTAGAAGACGACATGACGAACCTCACATCCACAGTTTGCTTGTCTAGGAACTGAAGTCAACTGAATTTCGTGCACAGCCGCCAAAATTGAATTTGATACAGAAGAAGCAAGTCACAGGCCCTATCCTGGGGGCAGGGGACGCTCTTCTTCAACTTTCGACTCTGGGAGCGCCAAGGGGAATCAATCAGTCGGGAGAAAGCCTGCGAATCACGTATGCTTGCTACTGTGTCGCCGACGAGGAAGATGGACGAAACCCTAGACCGGACGCAAACCGGATTCCCAAATTTCGCCGCAGTGTGACGTTTGGAGTCCGGCAACGTCTCCAAACGAACTCTCTCGGTCTCTCTCTCCTCTCTCTGTGGAGTTTCTGTGCTTGTGGGGTGTCACTAACTAACTCAACTCTGGCAAGGTCCTCTCTTTTTTTTTTTTCCTATTTATCTAAAGCTTGCTTTTTTAGCACGGTCCGAAGTGGGGAAAAAATCTCAATGTACACATGTTCTTAAAAAAAATTCTCAAAATACATAAGTTATAAAAAAATTTTCCAAAGTACACATATTTGGCATTCACCGTTTTTGACAAACGCAGTGAAGGTGATCACCGCGTGTGACAAAGACGGTGAATGTTTCACCGTTTCAAATTAAAACGGTGAAGGGTTCACCGTTTTGGTCTAACACGGTGAATCAATCACCGTTTTGGTCTAACACGGTGAATCAATCACCGTTTTGGTTTAAAACGGTGAATACTTCACCATTTCTGTCCAAAACGGTGAAGCGACGCGGATCGCTGACGTGGACAAACGCGGTGTATTCACCGCGTTAGACAAACACGGTGAATACACCGTGTTTGTTTACGTCAGTGATCCGCGCCCATGTGCTTTCACCGTGTCCGTTGGATGCGGTGAGGCGCGGATCGTGGTTTTCTTCCCACGATCCGACGCCTCACAACACGCCACGTCCCCTCTGCAGGGAGCGTTTTGGGGAAAAGCGATGCCTTCACCGCGTCCCTCAAACACGGTGAAGGCTCTCCAATTAAATGCTGCGCAGGCGCCTCCCCCCTTTCCCCAACTATAAATAACCCTCCCCTTCACTTACAACTCACACCACAACCATTTCACTTCTTTCTCCCTCAATTTATCCGCTCTAGTCTCGTTCTAAGTATGCTCTGTGGTTGCGGCTAAGTCCGATCTTCCACATCAGAAAGAATTACTAGAGTTTGACCCTAAAGCCACCGTCCCGCTAAGTTCCCGTCCCTTACAAACCTAAACCCGTCAAACCTCTGTCCGGCTTCCGCCAAAAAATGGACGAAGAGGCTCTTCGTGTAGGTTTTTGGTTTATGATTTTTTTTTAATCGAAACAATTTGATTTTGTGTTTTTTTTATCAAAACAATCTCTGATTTCATTACTTTTTTATAGATGGGTGCCGAGATATACGATCCTCGATTGTATATCCATTATGGCCCAAGGGATGCGAGTCTCTTAACCGATCAAAAAGCTCATCGCTCCCGTGCTATTTGGGATAACAATTCGGTAATTTTTTGAGTATTCTTGCTTTATTTTATTATTTTCTAAGGTTTTATTTTGCTTTATTTAATCTAATAAATTGATATTTTCCCTATTTTTTTTAGGAATCTCTTGTACCCGTGGTTCATAAAGGGACCAATAACTTGCCCGCTTGGCATCCAAGGTTGGAGCCCTATATAGCGAGGACCGGTTTGGGAATGTTGCGCCATTTCCTGCGGATCGAAATCGACAACGATCTGCTTACGGCAATGGCGGAACGATGGCGTCCCGAAACCCATACATTCCACCTTCCGGAGGGGGAAATGACGATCACCCTCAAAGACGTGGCGATCCTCACCGGGCTTCCTATTTCTGGAGATGCCATCATTGGTTCCACGACCAAACCCGAAGGAGGTTGGGGGCCGCTCATACGTGATCGTTTGGGCTTCGACATGCCGACCACTACACCAATTCAAGGACGGGGGCATCCACCGTTGAATGCGGGCCAAGTGTCGGTCCCGTGGCTGGTATCTCACATGACGAGACACCGGAAGAACAAGTCGAGCGCTACGCCCGCATCTACCTCATCAGTTTGGTGGGTGGATTTTTGTTCCCCGACAAGTCCAACCGGTGGATTCAAGGTATATGGTTGCCATTGCTCACTGGTGACTGGGATGCAATTGGAGAGAAGAGTTGGGGATCGGCCGTGCTAGCGGGCGTATACCGGGAGCTGTGTACTTGCTCGAAAGTTGGGGCAAAGCAAGCTGGTGCTGCGATGTTCATCCTACAACTGTGGGTATGGGAGCATCTTCCAATGTTCGCACCTCTCGACCCACGTCCATACCGGAGAAACGATGATGAGCTAAACTTTCTGCAAAATCTCCCCTACGGTGTCAAGTAAGTTTATTTCGTACTTAGCCTAATTTAAATTTTATTACATGCTTAGCTAGATTTAAATTGAATTTATTCCGTACTTAGCCCAAGTTAAATTTGATTACATGCTTAGCTAGATTTAAATTGAATTTATTCCGTACTTAGACCAATTTTATTTATTATTTGCTTAGCTATATTTCAATTAAATTGATTCTGTACTTTTACTTACAAGGTGGATAGGAGCAAATACGAATGACCATCAACCTGAGCATTCGTTACTGTTTTATCGTTCTGAGTTAGATAAACCTTGGTGGAATCAGGTAATAATGTTTTGTCCATATTTGAACAAGTTAAATTTTATCAATGTAAATGGTCGTTAATTCCAAATTTTGAATGAATATAGGTTATATGGGATCCATATCCACGTGAAGTGTTTGAGCTGCATCATCTTAGACACCCTCTAGATCACGAGACGTGGTTGTGCAAGGTGCCATTGATCTGCTGGCATATGGTGGAATGACACCTACCCGATCGATCCTTGAGGCAATATCGAATGGAGCAACCAATTCCACAAAGACCCGCCTCAAGGTTTCAGGGAGCTACATGCTATCGACCTCCAACACACTGCAAAGAACTGGCTCCTCAAGCATCAGTTCTACATCAACATCTGGGAGAATCGATCCCAATGGGTGGTGCAAGGGATGCCGGAGACGAGACCGATGGGCTACCACGATGGGTACATGCAGTGGTATCGGAAGTTCACCATGAGATGGGTGTCAAAGCAAGGTGTTGTGATGGGTTCGTTGGTAAGTCATCCTAAACTCCCTCATTCTAAAATAAATTTATTTTAAGGTTTAGTTAATTTGATATATTTTGTGCTTTCTTAAGGTTGATGGTTTGGAACACGCCAAGTACACTCTCGAAAGTGCTCCAACCATGGATGAGCGGAAGACTACTTGGTTGACCCGACTTATGAACAACCTCCTGAGTTGTACCAGAGAGCAAAGGAGGGATGTCGTGGCCTATCCTCCCGTTCCTGCCCCCGCACGACCCTCATTCCGTGATGATGCACCCATTGTGCCCCCGGTTGAGCCTCCACGAAGGAGCAAACGCAGGCCTCTTCCTACGTTCGAAGAGGTGCGTACAACTCAAGCAACCGAGCTCCCTGAAGCCTTCGAGTACCAGTGGGCACCTGCAGCGGATGCCGGTGGAGGGTCATCGAGTCACGGTCCATCTCAGGAACATGCCTCTTTCTCTCATGGGTTCTCTCAATTCCAACATCAGCAACAGAGTTCGATGTATCAGACCCCGCAGTAACAAACTCCGCACCCCCCGATCCACCGTCAAGCTACCAGTCCATCTCAGCCACCACCACCACCATATGTAACCCCAGTTGGGGCTCGGGTCAAGAGAAATCCGCGACCAGCCGTTGAGCGAGCCCGCCAAGAAGCAGCGGTGGAGGGGGGAAGAAGGGGTCGAGGACGTCGTGGAGGACGAGGAGGAAGAGGTAGAGATGGGGGCCAAAATGAAGCAAATGAGTGAATTTATCGTGTTTATCATTGTAGTGAACTATCCATAATGTTTTTGACATTTTTAGGTGTTGTTATTTGAGTTTGCATTGTCTAAAAACTATCCTACGCACTTAAGTTGTCGAATGAATATTCTGGATCATTTTATCAAGAATCAGTATCTTCCCTCAACACGAAAAAGTTGGGAAAATCAACCACGATCACATAGAATTTTACATATCTCAATTCCGAGTCCAAACGAGTGAGATAAGTGAGTTCAAAGCTGCACATGTTGTTAAAGTAACTTTTGTGTACTAAAAACTAAAACGCGCGTATCTTATTCGTTTGAGGTTGAAATAACGAGCCGTTTGCGGCAGCGCGATCGTATCGACAAGGAGAAAATTTTAGAGTTAACAAAATAAGTGGACTTCAAATGCAATCGGTAATGAAAATTTAAACAAGCGATCAATTTAGTAGCAGGATACAAGTAAATGCAAATTAAGATAGTGGTTGTCCTGGGCAACGCCTCTTGTCGTGACCAGGTTGTCTGCACTTAGAGCATCGCTTCGGTTCCCTTCTCGTCCGTTCAACTTGATCCATCTCATTGTGTATCCTTTCAACTCTAGGACGGCCTTTGGTGCGTTTTAGGTGCAACGGTGGGATAATCAACTTTCCAGCGTATATAGGCCAATACGCTTCATCTGGCATGGGGCTCAAAGCTGCATTATATGAGTTCCGTATCGCTTGTTCAGTGTAGTAAGGACTCACCAGGCTGTTTCTGTTCATGGTTATTGACTTAGCAACCGCCATTGCATGTGAACAGGGTATCCTTTCGTTCTGATACTTTTGACAAGAACACTCCCCTAATTCGTAGTGCAATTTAACCGTTTGACGATTGTGACCACATCTCCCTCCACCCCATATACCTGTTTCCACAGCGAATATTCCTTCACTGCGGTTAAAAAGAACAACCCTATGCTTACTTGATTTTTTATCGTTCTTCTGCATTTGAGCGAATACGTCATGTGCTATTGAATGACCTTGCAACTCCCTCCCTATAGCTTGCTGTAGCCGAGCAGCTCGCCACTCGTTGACCTTCCAGTAAGACATCTCCACGATGACAGAAATAGGCATCGCTCGAAGACCCTTGTACACATTATTTATACTTTCTCCATGGTTGGTAGTTGCAATGCCCCATCTGGCCCCGTTGTCCATATGGAACGTCCACATGGGTAACTCTTGACCTTCAGCCCATACTGCTCCAGCTCGGTGGCTCTGACGGATCGTTTTCATCTTCTGCTCGTACTTTTTTGGTTGATGTGCAACCGCTGAAAGGTGAACAAAATCGAAACTGGTCAATACATGATGAATAACATCAGCTTAATAAACACAAACTTAAATCGCATAAGAAAAACATTAGTACCTGCATTCCAAAGTTGATTTTTCATGTCTTTCTTCTTCCCAAATTTGTGCTGGAAATTGGCGAGCCAGTGTCGAATACACCATCGCCATCTCCATCCCCACTCGTCGGGAAAACCACCAACAACATTCCTAATCCCCGCATGTCGATCGGATATAATCGTAATATCTTCCCGCTGTGTCACGTGTTCGTGTAGTTGGTCAAAGAACCATGCCCAACTTAAGCTGTTCTCCCCTTCCACTAATGCAAATGCAAGCGGGAAAATCCGCCTGTTTCCATCAACGCCAGTGGCAATTAGAAGACATCCTTTGTACTTCCCAGTAAGGAAAGTTCCGTCAACCTTAATAAAAAAATTAGGATCTAATTAGTATGAAATATACATAACAGAAAATAATACAACATTTAAAACCGGAACCAGTTGGTAAAATACCTGAATAACCGGTATGCAGAACCCAAAACCGTCAATGCATGGTTTAAAAGCCCAAAAAAGACGATGGAACATCAGCTTCTCCTGTACTCGAACTTGATCCTCAGTGTATGCATTGTTGTATACTGGGACGAAAACAGTCCCAGGATTGGACTCCTCCATTGCTCCCATAAGTCTAGGGAGTAAAGCATACGAATCCTCCCAATCACCATACACCTCAGCCATGGCTTTCTGCTTTACATGCCATGCTTTTTTGTACCTTATCGTGTAAGAATGTCGATCCTTCACCTCTGCCATGATAGCTTTCACCTTGATATCTGGTTGTGCTTCTATAAGGTGCTTAATAGTTCTCCCAACTTTCTTTGCTTTTAATTGTCTGTGATCTTGGGAAAGTATAGAAGAGGAGCATGTGTGGATCGTCTCAGCTTTGCGAATCACCCAAGCACCCTTTCTCTTCATATTTGCAGCCCGCAGTTGCCACGTACAACCCTCTGCATCATGCTTGCATATGACATGTAGTTGTTTACTGTCAGAATATTTTACCTTCCACTCGAAATTGCGCCTCAACGCCTCTTCCGTAAAAGCATCCTGCACAACGTCTTTCGATGTGAACGCCATACCCACCTCCAAATTGGCCGTCGGATTGTACACTGGCATAGGGACAAAGTCAGGGGGATCATTCTGACTATGTAAAAATTGAGTTGGAACCTGTGTGTAATATGGCGTGGGTGCCTCACGAAATGCCGCCTCATCCTCGTTATCATCAGTATCTTCCTCCTCCTCGCTCACTGATCTCAAATCTTCCTCAGTATCCTCGTCGCTCGACTCGAATGGATAGCTCGGGCCAGAAAGATCAACATGACCACGATCACCAACATTGTCTTCTCGCTCATGTGAAGTACGACCTGATCGAATGGTATTCTCGATTTCAGACCACTCTGGCCCCCAAGCAGGCCATTGAACACCATCAGCCTCAACAAATGGGCCTGGTTGAGGAGGTTGCGAGTATTCTTCTGATGGCACCCATCCTGAACTACTACCTCCACCGTAGTTGCTCGAACTACCACCCCATCCGTACCCTCCTGCAAAACCATCATCATAAGAATACTGGTGAGAATGAGATTCACCGACCGCCTCGGTCTCAACATACACCTCTGCAAGCCGGACTTGGTTATCGCTTAGGAACTGTAACATCATCGTAACCGCGTCATCATCGTTTATGACAACTTCTTGGAACACGACCTCGCCAGCACTCATGTCTGGATACCGGTAAGTAATTTTGCCAAGTCTCGTCTGTCCGCTCGTACAAACCCTGTCTGCACAAATATCACAGAGTTCTTGAAAATTGAATCGGGAATCAATTTTCAGCATAATGGATTCGCCGTCCTCATAATCAATGCCTATGTCAGAGTTTGTCACCCTTCCATTCCACCGAATAGTAAGATGAAACTTCTTGAATTTACCCATATCTACAATTTACAATAAGTATCTATTAGCTTAAAGACAGTAAAATTAATCAAAATCATATTGTACAACTAATATTATCCATCTCATAACTAACGAACATAAATTCAACTAACTAACAACAACATAATACGAAAATTAAATCATACTATAACTAACGAACATAAATTCAACTAACTAACAACAACATAATACGAAAATTAAATCATACTATAACTACTAAAAACATAATTAGACTATAATACGAAAAGTCTCAACATACCGAAAAATTTATGTTCTGTGTATTATGCTCGATTTTGGTTGCTGAAATTTGAAGAAAGGGGAGTGGTTATGTTTTTACAACTGCTGGTGGTGTGCTATTTATAGGAAAATCTGCCTACTATTCACCGTTTTTGTCGAACACGGTGAACACCACACCGCGTTTGTCTCAAACGGTGAATAGTTGGTAGCTGTGACCTAATTTTGACCTACCAGGGGTGGGAAACGTGGGAAAAGATCACCGTGTTAACCTACAACGGTGAAGGTATTCACCGTTTTTAACTAAAACGGTGATGTATTCACCGTTCTAATCAAACGCGGTGAAAGCATCACCGTTTTAGATGAACGCGGTGAATACATCACCGTTTTGCTTTTCAACGGTGAAATATTCACCGTCTTTGTCAAACGCGGTGATATCCTTCACTGCGTTTGTCAAAAACGGTGAATGCCAAACATGTGTACTTTGGGGAAAAAATTTATAACTTATGTATTTTTGGAATTTTTTTTAAGAACGTGTGTACAGTGGGATTTTTTCCCCGAAGTTGTGGAGTTGTGGTGCGGCGACCGGCGTCGTGCGGTACATTAATGTGTGGTTTAGTAGCAGCCTAGTTATTCGGTTAATTTGAAGATTCGTTAGTATATACTAACTAATATTCAAAATGTATGAACTAATATCCAAGTCTGCTAAGTA